CAGTTATCTGAAGACAATGGATCAAGAGATACATATGCACATATCCGTCAAGAGAATCAGCTAACCAATCAACCATCAAAAGAACCATGTACTTTGGCAATACTCCCACTGGCGTGTCCAACCAGCTCAAAACCTTTGCCAATAAGATCAACTGTAAACTCTGGGTTTCAATTTGTCATGGATAATTTAGATCTAAGACAAAATGTGCGTGATATGACCATTGATAATCAAAACAAAGACCACCACTGGACAAACCTTAATTGTGTTGAGAACAGAGTATCTGGAGCTCATTTGACTGATGAAGAAAGTATATGTGATATGTCTTTACTACCCAATGGAACAGTGCTACCACAGTTCAAAGATCACGTTAACAATCGGGAAGACTACATAATACTCATAGAACGCATACTTGTCGATCACATTCCATCGTTAAACTTTTTAAAGGATATTGTTATAAAACACATACCACATATGTATAAAGATGAAATGGCTCAATCTACTAAAAAGGTAAGCCTCTTTGAAAACAAACATTGACAAATCTACCATGCTCAAAGAGCTAGTCAAATCTGTTCAGCACATGTGCTCTGTGAGAGCCCTCACATGTAAACATAGTCGATGATGCACTATATGTCGTGATGATGTAACAGAAACAAGAGATCATATCCATTCTGAAATAGTCTTTTAGTCCTAGTCTCATTCATCATGCAAATATATTAGTGAAAATATGCCAGTATAAGTGGATCAAATACTTTATTCACATCTTGCATCACACATGCACAGCCACTGAACAGACCTGACCGGCTCTTTAAGGTACCACCATACTGGTATCAATCTGTTTGCAATGCAAGGTTAAAGAGGTGGTCATTGGTCTGTTCTCTGAATGTGAGATGTAAACAAAGTTTTTAATATACTTATTCTGACAGATTTTCACTGGTATATTTGCATGATGTAGCAGGATAGGAGTGAAAATTTGTTTAGGGATGAATATATTATCTTGTTTCTGTTAGATCACCACAATATAATGTATAATCGACTTTGTAGACTTTGAGGGCCCTCATAGAGCACATGCACTTAATGAACTTGACCACCCCTCTAAAATTAGGTGATGTTAAAACAGCTAATAGAAGAGGATATTTAATTTAGATCTCAACAATACAGATGTGTGAATAATAAATTATATGATGCAGTCTTGTCCTTTACATGGTGCGATTTGTTGGGCTGATTTTAGGTTTTTACTCAATGTTAATGACTAATATTTTCAGTTGATGATGCTGTCAGATGACGTTTACCACATATTTTTGAAATATTATTAACATGCATCTGAAATTGGCCCAACAAGTCATAGTGTATAATAGTTTTGTTTGTGGAAACACCACGTAAATTTATTACTGCAAAGCTTTCGATCCGTAAGCCTGTAAGTCAGTGTGTAAACGTGCCTTTAGTCAATATTACATAACAAAGGGATTTTTTATACAGTATGGCAGCAGTGGCATAGCCAGTACCTTATTTTTGTGGGGGCGAAGCAAACGCCGAAGGTGAGAGACCGGCTAGCCTATGGAGTCCGGGGGCTCCCCCGAAAAAAATTTTGAAACTTACAGTAGAGTCCCTGAAACGAGATTTCAAGCATATCTGGGGTGAAATTTTGCATAAAAATACAACAAAACAAAACAAAAAAAAAGTATTGTTGTCATTGATAATTCCGGATAATATAAAGTACATTAGAAAACCATCACATCATTACATCACCTTGGAAAACTGGTGGAACTATGCCCCCCCCCCCCTAATTTCTTAACAGATTTAGACCTTTTGAGAAAATTCTGACTGTTAGTACTATTTAACTATGTAGATATGTGGTTTCTTACATGTAATACAATTTGTTAGGTAACATGAATATGACAATAGTAACCAATGAGCTGAAATATCGGCCTTATTTTATTATTTTACTCTGCTTAACACCAGACGATTTTTCCCATCCTTTTATGTTTTAGACTAACCTCGGAATACTTTTTGAGGATGAAAATACTACTGAGGGTATGTTGAGTGTTCTCGAATACATTCATTCCTTCTTACCTAATGCATTGGATGGTGAGGTAAAGATATTTGAATCTGCTAATGTCATTGGGGATCAACTTACAGTCGACAGGGCTTTAAATGCAATCATGTCGCAGCAAAACGGCTACACTGAAGAAGAGAGACTGACAAATATCAATGTTGGAGTTGCAGACTGGCATGCGGATATGAATTTCCTGAAAGTGAGTAGTATCATTGTGAGTATAGTAAGAGGCCAACAACAGTTCTAATAATTTAATATTTTTAGTACACGTTTGATTGTACATCAAATCAAATCTATTTACCTAGTATGTGTAACATCTTCAGTGATGCTTAACTGCTATCAACAGAATTTACTCTAATTGTATTTCAGGTGATCCTATATGGTATTAGTTGCTGGTGTGATTATTTGATAATAAAAGTTTATGCCCGGACTTATCGTTCTAAATTATTATCTTATAAATAGTATGTTTTAAGGTCTTTAAAAAAACTATATTTGCCAATGCTCCATAACATTTTACAATACACCAGAAGTCACATTAAGATTTTCATTGTTGGCTTTGTACTTTGTAGCCTGTGTAAACAACGCTGTAGTTTAATATTTAAAATTGAACTAATAATAGTTGCGATAATAATGCTGTTAGATACGTACATAAACTCAGTCTTAAGCCTGTTATCCACTAGGCGGAATTTTGCGCGCGGAGCGGAATTTTTCTTTGTCTTTTCTAATTAGTTCTACCCGAGAAATCACAAGACAAAGAGAAATTCCGCTCCGCGCGCAAAATTCCGCCTAGTGGAAAACCGACTTAAAGCCTGCTTTCCACTAGGCGGAATTTTGCGCGCGGACCGGAATTTTTCTTTGTCTTTTCTAATTAGTTCCGCCCAAGAAATCACAAGACAAAGAAAAATTCCGCTCCGCACGCAAAATTCCGCCTAGTGGAAAACCGGCTTAACGATCAATACCATGCAACCAATTTTCCAGATGATCACGGGGAAGGGGGGTTGTGAGCTGAGAACTCCCATAATGCCTTGCATGATCTTCCTCTGACCATGCATCTATCCTTTAAAACTCCTGATTATGCAACAATCACACCACTTCAACCACCATAACAGTAACAACAATGTCAGTAGTGAAAAAAAACCAGCTGCCAAACACTTGCCACAATGTTAAAACTTTTGTAAATTGTAAAACTTTGTTTAAAGAACAGGTAACAATTTACAATATAAATTACTGATAACTTGTTGCCTTCTGTATATCTAAATATAGGATTTGTAAACATGCATACACGGCATATGTCAATAAAATTTAAAATAACATTCTATGTTATTAGCGGCTTTATGTTTACTGGTGCAACCTCGTACCCAGGGCATTTCTTCTTCACAATCCGGAGACAGTTGACGCAGATACATGCAGACTAAGCGTACCTATTTTTATTATTAGTACAATAAAGAGTGTTTTTATTTTATTTATTGTACTTTTTTATCTTTCTAGTTATGTTTCACAAAACATTATTCTACCAAATCTGGCTTGGATCAAGGCACACTCTTCTGTGACAGAAACAAAATTAATAGAAGGAATGTAAAGAGTGATGTTACAAATGCATATTCACCATGTCGTTCTATGTTTGTCATCGCTGTAAAGGCACGCGTCCTCGCCGCAGCATTGAAAATCCTTGGAATGGAAACAATCGACGAAAAGCCAACTGAAAATTCCTTACCACCCAGTATAGAAAAGGGGACTATCAACACGAAGAGAGAATATCTGAGGTCGATCGCTGCAAAAATAGTTGATATGTATGTGATCGACAACGAATCAGTTAATTCACTGATTAATCAGATTTTATCGGAGGATGAACAGCAGGAGCGGAGAAAAGGTCAGGCTCAGACTCTTGATGGACGATATCCTTGTCGAGTAGCAGGTTGCACGAAGACGTTTAAATACGATGGGAAGAGCAGGTTGAACCATGAAAGAAATCACGATGAAGACCAAATGCCAAGACAGTCAGTAGACATAGTGGAGACGTCACATACTCCATTGTCATCAGCACAATGTGATAATGAAGAACAGAATGATGACATGTTTAACTATCAATGTTCATTGCTTCAGTATGGATTACTGTATTTGAACTTTAAAGACGCCATTGCAGAAGGAGATGGAAGTAGAATTATGAGAATTTGGAAGTTTTTCCTCCTGTATTTTCGGGAAAATTCCACCAGGTCCAAGTATGCTTTGGAAGCACTTTACCTGCTATTTCAAGTAAACTCCTTGATGACTCCTCGAAAGGCCCATCAACTTACATGGAACAGATCTGTTAATAATCGAGGTGGTCCCGGAAAAAACGTTCCCCTTGATCTTGACCTTGAACACGACAATAATTTTGTTAAATCAGCATGCAAGAAGCTTGGACGAAATCTCACGTCAAAAGCTGTCACTACGATTTGCCGTTCTAGCATGGTTGCAAGGAAATGTATAGAGGAATTCGATTCTGAAAGTAAAATAAGGAGGCGCTCAGGGAAACACGTTTCCCAATCAGATGCCAACGACATTGGTATCCTTGTTGATGGCTTGATGAAACAGGAGTCCTTTACCAAGAAACCAGGTCGCACATATAATCATTACTCTAAATTCAAAAGAAGCCACCTCAACAATGTAGATATGTCATCACTTTACAAGTGGATAAATAATCACAAAAAAGAAGTTATTCTTAATCGAAAAGCAAGATAGGTACATACTGCACGTACATGGTACAATTAGCTAGCAGTAATAATACTGTACTATTGTCTAACGATATATTGTTTTTACATTACATTTAATATCAATGCAATTTGATTCCAAATTTGTATTTGAATATTGTCAGAAAGAACGTGTCATGTAACAAAAAGTGCACCGTCTGGTACTTTGCTTCGAACTAACACGAAGCATATTATTTTCAATTCAAAAACTAACTAGATTATTCTTTATCAATATCAATGTTTTGCAAAAGTGAATTCAACGAATCAGGGTAAGTAGCCTCAGCAGCATTTTCTTCATCATTTGGAGCTATTGCACTCATTTCGAATGAATCACTCATAATATCAAATATCTGCATGTCCTGAAATGATTCATCTAAATCTTTGACATCCGAGTTACATGTTGTCAAATCATCACTGTCACTGTCATCACTACTGTCACCTTCCATTGAAGAAGGTGGAGGTACATCTTGGAAAATTTCATAGAATAACTTGTATATGGATTCAGCATGTTCTTTTTGCCATATTTCAACGTGCGAGAATATATCAGCGATACTTGTTATAACGCCACAGTTATCCATTACTTGTTTAATCTGAATGTCTGTAAATTCGAGGAAAAAACTTGGGCATGAAATAACAGTGGCTTTTCTTCCCTTTTGATCTCCTTGCATGGACTTGAAGGCAATAGATTTTCGAAGAATTTGTAACTTTTGAAACAGTATACTTCTTTGTGTAGGGCTGACCACCCTTTTTGAAATTGGTTCAATTGATGTTGTACAAGTACTGTTTGGTAACAAGGCATAGGACTTGCACTTCCTGTCATTGCAATTACACCTTTTGGCACAATTGTCACAACACATATGTAGAACACTTCCAGCACCAGATAATATTTGTGATTCTGTACATAATTCAAACGGTTCCTGGAGAGCAACTCGACGGCATCTAGAGTCTGTTATATAGTCCTTAATATCCTTTTCACAATGCAAACACATCAGATTATTGTAAAGCAACATAGCTTTACTTGGCATACCATCTCTACCACCCCTCCCACTCTCTTGCACATAAGCTTCTATGTTTTTTGATGGCCCCACATGGATAACAGTTCTAACACCTTTAGCATTTATGCCCATTCCAAAGGCAATTGTTGAAAATAAAACCCGTATATGACCATTTGTTTTTGCAAAAGAGTCAAGAATTGTTTCCTTCACCGATTCAGGTGTCTTTGAATGCATCATTTCAACAAATCGATATCTTGGGTTTTGGGACTCGTCACCAAACACAGCAGTTCCCAATCTAACAATAAATGACTGATACAAATATGAGCACTGTTTTATTGTCTGACAATAGACTAATACTCGTTCTGCATTTAAGCCTTTTTTTTCACATCATTGATCAACCATTCAAAATAGTTCAGGAGATTTTTACCTTTTTCAATAGGTTGTACTGAGTAAGTGATGTTGTCCTGCAATAATTTATCATTAACGTTGAAAGGATTGGATAAACTAAGCACCTGATGAATATAAACTTTTGTTTTCTTAGAAGCTGTTGCAGTTAAAGCCATTACAGGTAATTTTTCAGTAAGCAAGGACCTCAATTCTTGAAGACATGCATACCATTTCCTGAATGCAGTTTCCCCTTTATTTCCTGAGAACCCCCTAATGAGCATTAGAAATTTATTTTGTCATTTGTTACATAATGCTGTATTTATCAAAATATTTGTGTATATACAGAACAAACTGGCTTTATATAATTATTTGTATTCCCAAATCTACATTTAATGTGATTTTATAATTTGCAATATATGCGAAATCCTGCAATACAATCATGATAACATAAAAGCACATAACAGCAGCAAAACAATTATCTATCATTGTTTCTTGTTGAATAACCCATCAGGCTCTTTCTAATGCCAGAGGGAAAGTATTGGGCATTTAATTAAACTCTCCCCTGTATGTATACAGGGTGTCCCAAAAAAAGTACCCTCTAGAAATTATCCTATTATTATAATTTGAATGCCTGAGCACTATGCTGAACACAAGAGTGGACAAACACAATTGAATTGAATTTTTAATTACCAGTTGCATAAAATCCTGTGCTTAACAACATTAGGATAAATTTCTATATAGGGTACTTTTTTGGGGGACACCCTGTATACCAGAACCTATACATTTTTGCACCTTAATTTGAAAAAAAAAACTATATACAGGGTGTCTCAAAAAACTGCAAACCCTTTGAATTCAGATATTTATGAAATTTGCATAATTCAGCACTAATTGATCCCAACGGTGCATAAACACCATTCATGCTGGGATGGTAAACACTCTTTGCTTTGTAGTTGGTTGTGTTTATTCTAATTTCAATTAATGAGGAAAATTATTCTAATTTCAATTAATGAGGAAGATTGGAACATACTCATGTCAAATCCCAGGAGCATAATAAGTTGCACCTGTAGGCAATGAGATGCTATGCAAATTACAGTGTTTGCAGGTTTTTTTGAGACAACAACTTTTGGCTAACGTAGAAAACTCGTTAAATATAATGTTTAATATTGTCCATACATGATACATCATAGCGTGGCATACATATAGCGTGATATATTGTTGTTAATATATTTTTATTTTGTAATTAATATATTAAAAGTGTTCAACCTTACCAGTTTGAAACACAATGCGCTTCATCAACAGCTATCCCTATTAGTCTGCTTTGGTACACATCAGACGAGAGCATTTTTCGCCATCGATCAATAGACAACATGGACTCGGGCGATCCATACACAATGCTATATTTTCCATTCTCTATGTCTTTTAACACGTTCTTATCTTGATCAGCAATCACGAAAGCTGCAGGTACATTTATTTTGGACAAATACGATACTTGGTCTTTCATTAACGCCACTAGAGGCGAAATAACAATTATAATAGACTCGTCTGAAAAGTTACTTAGTCTGCTTGCAACGAGTGGCGCCATCTGGAAGATTATAGATTTTCCACAGCCCGTCGGTAGGTTTACAAAAGTATCTCTTCCACACAGGAAGTTAAATAATGCGTCCTGCTGTTTTTTATATAAACAGACGATATTAAAAAGTGGACAAATGTCTTTCAATGCTTTATTGAAAGCTTCACGCTCCAACACATCCTTGGCCGCCATCTTTAATTTATTGTAAATATTGGAATAATTTGCAATTATAATAATATATGCAAAATGTGGCACGTTAACCAATCAGATTTGACTACCACGTTTCTGGTAGCACTGGACAAGGTTTTCGACGAATGAATTCAGACGCATATTTCGGGGTGGTGACAGAAATATGCGGCTGTTTCAGGCTACAGAAGACTGGGATTTTTTCATTTTTTTCCTTTGAATGTTTTTCTTTTTAATGAGTTGTGATAGTTCCTTGTCAATCCATGGGTGATTCAATGTATTACTCAGTATATCTCGGGATGTGTTAATCAACGGCTGAGAGGAATAAGGGGCGGACCATTTGATTTTTGAGAGGGGGGGTTGGAAAAAAAATTTCCTGCAATCCAAGGAGAAAGATAAAAAAATCATGCAGCATACAATCGAGAAAAAAAAATATCATGCAAAAGAGAGCGCTCAAAAAGTAATGTGGACACAATACTTCAGTATTGTGTCCACAGACTTGCAAGATTTTGCATTTTTGAGCAGGCACATTTGCTTAAAAGAACACGGGGTGAACAGTGGACAACATCACAGGGATTCTACCGCCTTTGGAGCCTATATCATACGATAGCCAGTGGTGTTCCCTGGCAAAATTGTTGCCCCCCCCCTGAGAAAATCTGGGCTGAAGATATGTACAAGTTTATAAGTTATTTATACATATCTAATATGCATGGTAGAAAAAGTATTTTTGGATGGTTGAGTCTGTGTGCGTTTTTTGATAGCATAGCTCCAAACTATTAATTGGCTTCAAAGGCCCATCTACAGGATGCAAGTTGAACGTACTGTATATGCGATGATTTTAATGCGAAAATGCCAGTTTAGAGAGTCTAGATTTTAAAAAATTTCTGAAGAGGATGCAACCCGATCCCCAACAAGCTATCTGTATGAACGATTGAAAAGCTACAGAACTATATTTGGTGGAGCATTGTTGTTTCGGAGGGCAGTTAAAAATCGCATTTTTGAAATCTTGTTTTATTACATATTAATCAAAGCTCATTTTGTGATTTTCCCTTGTTTAAAATAAAGGACAGTAAGTGTTCCTTAGGCTTAGTACAGCAAAGTTGTTGGACGAATCCATGGCAGTGACAACGCAGGAAATAGCATTTCCGAGGTTCAAATTTTAAAATTTTCTCCCCCGAACCCCCCAAGGTTATAGGTCATTCATATACTGTACCTCCCCCATTTTCGAGTACCCTACTCTATCCTTGCATGTTTTAGGTTTTTGTGCAGTTATACATTTTTTGTAAGTAAACCTGCACGCTTTAGTGTGGGGAACATTAAGACATACGAGTCACTATATAAAAGGTTTACATGAAGTAGTGCGTCACATTATAGGCGCGCGAACGGGAATGGGATATGAGCGTTCTGCTGGTCGATCTTGCTAAATAGCTGTGGAACATAAAACAAGTAAACAGAAGATCTAAATATAATGCTTTCATGTATATCACCAGAAAGAAATAAAGCTATCCTCACCTGACTTATTCAAAATATTGTCGATCTTTTGCATCGTGAAAGCTTGAAGCTTGAAGCCAAACGGCCCACTGACCAACTCGGCCCACACCATCTTGGCCCAATTGTTAACTACTGTTTGACATATTGGGAAAGCTAATATTTTACAAAAGATAGCACCAAACCAATACAACCATTTGCAACGGCATTGGGCGTACAGATGAGTAAAGTTTGAGAACATCCAGTTTGACTTAATTTAATTAAAGAATCCTATTATCTATCGAAGTTTCAAATTCTCGATCTGTCCGTTTTGATACTAAATTACTGATCATTCAAATCTCTCTCAAAATTTGCAAAGATAGAACGCAGTCATGGCTCCTAGCTTGTTTAGTGGTTAGATTAGTCGGTTTATGAGCGGGCGGACTTGGTCCTTGAACGGTGGGCCGAGTTGGTTAGTGGGCCGAGTTGGTTAGTGGGCCGAGTTGACTGTAAAGCCAATTGCCTACTATAATTTTTTTGTTCGTTTTTTTTTAAGAATCAAGATAATATACTTTATAATGAATTAAACTGATATGCTAAATAAAGTCAAGACATATACCTGGCAGGTCTTCTGATGACTCTGCCACTAACTTTACTTACAAGTGATGATTTCACTAACGTCATATCAGGGTGTTAGCCAGAAAAAAGTTTTGTTCGTTAAACGTAAATTGGGAAAGTTTTTTTGACCGATCAAAGTCCTTGTGTAGGAATAAATAGTGTTTTTTTCCATTGTATTTCTCCTTAGATGCAAACAACGGTGGCTTGGTTTTGTACATTTCATTTCCAGTGAATGAACACTGAAAAACACGGATGCACACCGATTACACTTTGTTTTGTACATTTCATTTCAGTGAATACACACCCAATATGAATGAAACGCAATACATTTTGAGCAAATAGTTAATGGGAAAAAGTAAATAAAACGTTCTTTGATATAATAAATAAATATAAAATCAAACGCAATGCATTTTCTCATCAGAAAAAATGAAAATCGTCCAGTAGACCCAGTTGGGAAAGCCCCTTAGCTACTTCAATTGGGAAGAGTCCGTCAAACGGACAGTATATGGGCTAGCTAACACCCTGCATATTAGTTTCTTGTATGCTGTTGCCACTTGTTTCAATTTCCTTTTCACCACATACTCCCACTGTATCATACTCACTATAAACAGGTTCTTCCATATTCATTGTGCTGGTCTTCTCTGGACTTGAACGAATTTCTTCTGAAGTCTTTAGTATATGTTTTCTTTTCCTCCGGTATTCCTTGTTATTAGCGGTCACAACTAACGATCTAGGTTCTCCTCGTTTAGATTCTCCTACTAACCTGGCTGGTTCCCAGGTATTTCCGCATCTCATCCTCACTGTATCTCCCTCCTTTACCGGTGTTAATGTTTTACTTCCTCGATCAAAATATTTCTTCTGGATTTTTTTCTTCTCCGTCAACTATTGTTGAACCCTTTCTACATCATATGCCATTGGCTTTAACAAGGACTGCTTTATGGGTATAAGTGTTTTAGCACGACGGCCCATCAATAGTTGCATTGGTGATAAATCAACTCCCTGTATTGGAGTATTTCGCAATTCCAAAATTGCTAAATGAGGATCGCTACCATCATCACAAGCTTTCTTCAGTAATTTCTTTGCTGTCTGTATAGTTCTCTCGACAAACCCATTACTTTGTGGAAAGGTTGGTGATGATGTGACATGTTGAAACTGATACTTTCTGACAAAGTTGAAAAATTCCTTACTGGAAAACTCGGGACCATTATCCGTATAAAGAATCTCTGGAAGCCCATATCTGGCCAGGTGTTGTTGAAGAACGTTCACTACCGTATTACTTGTACTGTCCGTGACTCTAGTTAATTCAAAGTATTTTGAATGATAATCCACGAAAACTAAATATTTGTCTATACCTGCCAAGGCTAACCGTGCTTTCCTCTGTAAGCTTTATTTGATAAAACCCAGACGTGGCATCAAAGGTGCTAAATATGTTTGCATTCCCAAGGCTAGCTGCTACCTCTTCAACTGTTTTTAACGGATAATGTTCTCGTTGGATCACCTTGTTCAAATCCACTGGATCAAGGCAAATTCGTACATCGTCATTTGGTTTCTTCAACACCACCATTGGATTAACCCATTTGGTGGGTTGTTCAACTTTTGTTATAATGCCCCTTGCTTCCATTCTATTCAACTCATCCTTTACTTTGTCCTTTAACATATGCGGAATTCGTCTTGGTGGATGAATTGTTGGACTGACAGGTTCCTCGATTTTAATTTCATATTCTCCTGGTGGAGTACCAATTCCTTCAAATAAATATTCATACTTTTCCAAAATTTCTTCAGTGCTTTGGTCATTACTTGACTCAATGTTATGAACTCTCTGAATTAAATTCAACTCATTGCTGCTTGGCAATCTTAATACTGGTATGACATCAGAGTTTACAACTTGTACATCCAGCAAGTAATACTTGTCCTTGCATTCAACTGCAATTGTGGCTTTGCCTACTGCCTTAATCTCATGCCCTGAATATGAAATCAATTTAGCTCCAGTTTTGTGAGTGTATTCAATTCCAACTTTTCTACACCGGCATGACATTACACTGGGCCCCTGTATCAATCTTGAATGAGGTGGTATGCTCATTTACTTTCAAATGTACACACCAATCGTCCTGCTTCGCTTCATCTGAATTAACTGTTCCAATAAAATAATGTTGGTCTTGTTCTTCATCAGTTTTATCAATAAAGTTTGCCTCTTTTGCTTTGTACATACTGGCAAAATGATGCAACTTTTTGCATCTATTGCAGTTCTTACCATAAGCTGGGCAACGACCTCTCCTATGTCGATAACCACCACAATAGCTACAAATGTTATTACCAGTTTTAACCCTTTTCTCTTCTCTCTTTTCCTTCCATGCATCGCTTATCTTCAACCCGCACTGCATGCACTGACTTTTCATCAGTAAGTTCCTTCAGTTGGAAGGCACTTATTTCAGATGCTCTACAAATATCTACACATTTCTCCAAGCTTAAATCAGATTCCCGAAGCAGACGTGCCCTTACAGAGTCATTAGTTATCCCACATACAATTCGATCGCGAATTAATCCATCTTTAAGATCAGCAAATTCACATCTATAGGCTTTATTTCTCAGTTCAGTAACGTATGTATCTATTGTCTCACCTTCCTGTTGGTTTCTTGTAAAAAACGAATGTCTATCAAATGTTAAATTCTTTCTCGGATTACAATATCTTTCAAATTTCTCCATTATTTTATCAACTTTGACATCATCCCCTGCTGTGTCCCACTGAAATGTATTATACACCTCCAACGCTTCAAAGCAACAGATGTAGCAACGCCATTGCTTGAACTTTTTCGTCTAGACCCGATGCTATCAGATAGATTTCAAACTGCTGCTTGAACCTTCTCCAATTTTCAGCTAAATTTCCTGTTACTATCAAAGACTTAGGAGGATCTAACTTATCCATATCTAGTTTAATTTACTCCTGACACCATGTAATATAACTCGGAATCCAAGATGGCGGTATATCATTGGGTTGCATTGCGCCCTGATGCGCCCTATTTTATTATTTTACTCTGTCTAACGCCAGGCGATTTTACTCATCAAGGAGAGTGTGCTGGCGCTTAATGAGTTAATATACAGTTATAAGTGTCAATTATAATTGTTTAAAATGCTGCACGGGATCCTACACAGAACAAAAGCGAGTATAAAATGCATATGTTGTGGCATCATTGGCGTGCATTGTACAGATTTTAATCATATAGTGCTTGCTATATATTGCTAACTTTAGCAAGTTTTATTTAATAGTAATTATTTAATATCACATTATTAATTATTATATTATATGGGTGTGATATGGCATGCTTGTCAGTTGTTCCTAAACAATGCTTGTGAATTGTAATATTTGGTATTTGAATTTTATTGGTCATGTGTACGTAATTAAAGTACCGGGTATTTGATGTACAATTTATGTATTGTTTCTATATAAATGCAAACAGGTCTCAGTAAAGTGTACAATGATTTTATTTTCCTGTAGATCCAGATTATTGGTGCAAGCAATGGAAAGCAAGTTGCTGTTTTTGAAAATGTTTGTAATAATTTTATGGTCATTTGGCTGACTCAACAAAATGTTATCAAAGTAGTCCCTTCTCTAATAATGCCTCTTTTTGAGCCCCAATCCATGTTAAACTTCCTCCCCCTTCATGATAAAGAATATTACCCATGTCTAATCATAGGCATCCCAATGGCTAAGTATATTAAGGTGGCTTGATACAATTTTTAGAAATATGGAAAAATTATAAGTTGGATCAAGCTTAGGACTAGCAGTTACTAGCTTGTCAGAAATAAAAAGTTGTAAAGTGACGTCACCACTGTTATGATATGGCATCAATGAAGAATCAATATGGCCAATATTTTGGATTACTATTCTATATTTTATAAAACGTTTTCTTGTGAAGGATCTGACCGAGTTTAAAAAAATACTGTAAAGCCAAAAAAAATTTATTTGGATGTATTGATGTATGTAAATGTATTAAAGAGGTTTGATACAAAGTAATGATTAAATTACATGTCTGCTCATTCGTCTAAGAGTTTTTTCCAGAATGTAAATGATCCATTATTTTTATTATTTTTCAGCTTGAAACATCGTCAACAATAAAGGACCTCAAAGATCAATTGTACTTGAAATGTAATTGTAATATTTTTCAATTTGTTCTTGATTTGTGGAAATGATTTTGATGCAAGGAAAGGTCTCAATATGCATTATGGAATAAAATTGTTAATTAAATTTTAGTACTGTACTACAACTTTTGCATGGAGTCATTGGAGTGAACATGCATGTTTCTTCACATGAAGGTCACCACTTATAATAGTTATACTACTATAGCTGTAATGTTGTGGCAGGTTTCAAGCAATCCCACGAGACTTAAGCACAAAGGCAGAGATGGAGGTCATGGTGCAAATAATGAGATTCAAATGAGATTCTTAAATATAACAAGCTCAACAACTTATTAAGCAGTGAAACGTTATATATATATATATATATATATATATATATATATATATATATATATATATATATATATATATATATATATATATATATATATATATATATGCTTTAGAATATTAAAAACACACCAAAGTGTGTTAAACCTAATTAGTGTATATTCATTAAGTAATCAATGTCCTTATTGATTACACACATATATAACACTCCATGTCACTTCCAAGGTTACATTTATAAACTAATACAAGGCAATTAATCATGACCTCATAATTGCGGGTGTTAGAACTAGAAGAAGCCACCTTAGGCCACATAAAAAATAGTTGGTTAGCGTCTTCGCCCGCCCACATGCAAAAAAGGCCCCGCTCAGGATTTTTTTTATTTAAAAACCCCCAACTTTTATTCACCAACGGGCTTTAATATATGTAGAATTTCTGTAGTCAATTGTGTATATTAATAAATTTAAATGTGCAAGATTTTAACTTCCAATATAGTAAATCTTTAAATCAGTCTTTTATTTTAAAAAAGTTCTTCTAGAATATAAAGCGTGCGAAAATGACGGTATGAATCATATTTTGAAATACTATATATATAAAACAGGGTTCGTACAAAACTTGAAAGTCCTTGAATGTCCTTGAATTTGAAAACAAAAATTCAAGGCCTTGAATGTCCTTGAATTCTTCTTGCTTTAGTTTTTGGATATTTTCTGAAATTGTTTGACATTCAAGACGGACATTTTGTTGAACTGATTTTGCATGTTCATATCTGACCTCATTATAAAGTTACGTTTTGAACAATTCAACGTCATATTTTACTGATTTCTAACGCCTTTTCTTCAGTATTTAGTCCTTGAATTTGCTGATACATGGCCTTGAATATCCTTGAAAAGTCCTTGAATTTGACTCTTCCTGACATGTACGAACCCTGATAAAAAGTTCAAGAAATACATCTGTACTGCGCAAGGAAATCCAGTTTCAGACCTAAAACCAAGGCGTTAAAAATCAGTATAAATTAAAAAAGGCCCGCCCGCCCACTATTTGCCAAAGCTAAGGACGCCAACCAACTATTTTTTATGTGGCTTACATGTCCTTCATGTGCACTGAATTGGAGCATGATGAAAGCCTCCTACTGACCTTATCTTAGGATAGTAACTCTGCAAAATACTATAACCTACAAAACGTACAAATTTATTGTATAAGACGGACGAACTGCATGTATTTGGACGAACTGTATTCATAGTCCACTCCAATTTTCATTGCTTTTTCTGCGCTTAATGCATTGTTACCATATTCTCTCTATTTATCCCCAGTCTCTTTTTACCCCCCC